TAATGTGTTGTCTTATGTTAAACCTATTAACGAGGGTATTTAATTATTAATTTTGTGTAGATTGCTACATCTGTGTCTAATTTGACCTCAGTACCTCGATATGTCCTTTGGAAAGCTGCTAGGGTAAATAAACAAGGTAGCATTGATGACGAAGGAGTTAAAAAAATGATTAATGAATTTGTAAGTACTTAATACTAATGTGTTAGTATTTTCAAATACGTTAAGTTTTATTTTGAATTCTCCTTCCTAATGGTTTTTTGTTATGTTTAATATAGGAAACTCTTTCACAGGTCACTCCAGATGCTGAGACTGAATCAACAGCCCAAAATGACATACTCTTTCAAGTACTTGATGTAAGAGAGCATCCAGGTCGCGTGAGGGCTATAGGTTTTGGGGTGACCCAAAAATCTGCATTTAGGCCAGCTACATGTCCACATCCTTCATCTACCGAGTGGCAAACCATGAAGCATTGGGTAGCGTATTTGACTGATGTAGTGATACAGTTGACAGGGGGTCAAGGACTACCCCTATTCATGTCAGGTCAGATGCCATTCAACCTCACTCATTCCCCACCACCATGTATGCCACCCTTTTTCAATATTGCTCCTCAAATGCAACTGATGGCGGATATTGGTCCCCAAACGCCTGTAGATGCACCTTCTACCAGTCATAGAGGCAAGTGCACACCAATTGCATTTGTTGAGATTTCAGAGGTATTTAAACTACAGTAAATCATCATTTACCTTTTACTGTTTAATGCTTTTGATTTAATTTTTGCGTAATATAACAAACTTTCATTTGTAGGGTGATCATGACTATATGCTATACTTAAACAAACCTTTTCGCCTGGTTGCAAGAGGTAGAGTATATCATATAGTAGTTGGGGACTCCTTACATAATATGGCTCTTCCTCCAGAGCATGGTAAGGTTTCTATAGAGGTAGTGCAACGACATGAGGAGGACTCTGCACTGCCTGTCCCAAATGAACAAGCAAACCTGTATTCCCTGAGAGATGCCATTAGTACTTATGTTGCTTGGCCATTGTCCCTAATCACTTTAAGACCCAAGGTATGTAAACGTGTTTCTTTATAGTTCCTGTTGCTAGATGTTACAATTAAAAGGTTTATTCTTTTCAGGTTGCCCCTTCATCAGGTAAATGGTTAGGGAAAGAGACAGGGTATTCAAAAGAGTCCATTGCTGGTCCATCCAATAAAGGTAGCATTGGTTGTGTGTCATCAGAGATTCTGAAGTTGGCAGAAGCCCAAGGTGCTGCATGCTTGGATATGATGAAGTTGTTTGTGAGAAGTGATCAAGCCATTGATACAACTACAATTCAACTGACAAGTGAGCACTGGGATAAAGAGTTTCGTGACATTGTGGGTAAAGAAAACATCATAGAGATCATACGTCGACATTGGTTGAGTGCCTCTAGCATTAACCTTTATAAATTTTCAAATTATATAATTCATAGTCAATTTATAACTTTTATAACCTTTATTTAATAACGTTTAATTCTACTTTTGCAAAACAAGATATTTGTGTGAAGCTTATTTGCATGGGACAATGGCAACTAGATTTTCATTTATATCTCCGTATGAAATGGACGAAGCACTCAATCCGAACCCACATCAACATATAGCTGAAATGTTGAAGCGTCATATGGGATCACTTGATTTTTGCACCTTATAATATTGGGTAAGTCAATCTCAGTGAGACTCTGCTTTATGTGTTATAATTTAGCATATAACTTTTAAACTTAGTAATCTTAAAGTGATATTTATACTCGTGGTAAGCAACATTGGGTCTTGGTTGCCATCAATACTGCTGACGAGACTATCTATTATATGGACCCTCTACGCAAGCAGTTGAAGATGAGAATACACATGCAGAACCTATTTAATAAGTAAGCATTCATTTATGTCAACCAACTATAATTAATGTTAAGTGGTTCAAATGTATCTAATTTCTTTGGTTCACGACTCTTAGTGCTCATGTCACGTATCGAGCAGAGAGGGGAGTGCAACCCTCTAGTACAAAGATGAGTCAAACAAAATGGGTCACTGTACAAGTAAGACTATATCATATCTCATGTTTTTAATTTTCACCTAAATCGTAATTGCACTGTATATCATTCTTAGTTAATGCTGTTTTTATTGATTTTTATCTTCCACACAGTGTCCCAAACAAACAAATAATGATGATTGTGGATATTATGTGTATCTATTCATTGGGGATGCTTTGCACCATGGACAAACTATAATCCCAATAAATGTAATAATCTTACACATTCCAATTCGTTTGCCATATGCTTATTATTTCACTTAATTAATTAAGCTTTGTTTTCCTTGTCCTTGTATTTTAGTACTTTCCAGAGGTGCAGATGCCAACTTTTCCTGACAACAAAATTTGTCAATTGCAAAAGGAGTGGTGTTCATATTTGTACCATAGATATTTAAAGGACACATTAAGCACAATAAATTATTAGTGTTCTTTTACAATATTTAGACAATTTTCTTTAAAGGCTAGGCAAAATGTGTAAATATGAGACTCTGATTGATTGTAATCTGTACATGTGAGTTGTAATTGAATAATACAATGTGCAATTGCTCTAAAATTCTGGTATATCAGGCTCTGTTTGAATTTTATATTCTATTTGAATTGGTTCTGAATACTGTATAATTTACCAGGTATGCTAAAAAAAGGTTTTATGCCAGTTTATTAAAATATTTAAAAATGTTTCTTAACTTTGGAGAGCGGTTCAAGAAGATCCGCTTTGCAAAGTCCACTTCTGAGAGCGGTTCATAAAATAACCGCTCTCATAAGAATACTTAAGAGAGCGGTTAAATATGAACCCTCTTAGAATGAACTTTGAAGAGCGGTTCATATTTAACTGTTCTCCAAAATGTACTTCTAAGAGCAGTTAACAGGTTAACCGCTCTCATAAGTTTGAGATAAGAGAGCGGTTAACCTGTCAACCGCTCTCTTTAGTCTAACTTGTGAGAGTGGTTCAATCTTAACCGCTCTCTAAGGTACTATCATTTGTAGAGCGGTTAAATAACCGCTCTCTAAAAATGAAGACATTGGATAGCATGTGATTTTAAAGCGCTACTAACTGCTTTCTTAATTCAAGCGAAACCGCTCTTACATCTCATTTTTGGCGTAGTGAACTTTGCATTTTTTTACGTCACAACAGAAGGGAGGCAAGCACTTTTTGGTTTTGTTTTTATCTTCAAACCGCTCTTAATTCAAGCACTTTTTGGTTTTGTTTTTATCTTCAAACCTGGCATGCAAATGTCTAAACATGTTCCTTACATAATAACCCTTTGCAACAACATATTATAAGCTCTAATGCAACATCATATACTCCCTCTATAGTCAAACATATATAAGTACCTTCAATTTTGCATTTTCTGCACTAACAACATAAAGAAATGAGTTTTCTACTCTTTGTGGTAAGTTCAATAAATTAGTCTAAAACCTTTATTTTCATAATTAACATAGAAATATCTTTTCAATGCACCTTTCTGTGTTCCATTTGAATTTTGTTTTAATAGTTTACGATGTAAAAAAAGTGTTATACAATCTATAAAGTATGCGTGAACAACAATGAAAACCAATTTTTCTATACTTACCCATGCATCAAAATTTGTGGACTGTGATTTGCACATTGATTTAGTTTATTAAACTTAATTTTATAAACAATGCAATCTAAATATTGTTTGATACATGGATTTTTTTTTGCATGGTCACACTTTCTATTTTTTACCTTTTCCAAATAGCAATTTTTGCCCAAAGTATTAGATAATCTTGATTTTGAATTAGGAATGCACCAAACCTTGAAACTCCTAATTTCGACATTGAGAGACCCACTAGAAAAAGCTTGCAGACCAACCTTACCTACAAAAGGTAAGATGAAAAAGGTATTTCAAGTAAGAAGATGAATAAACCAAATAGGTTTCCCTTAGCCATCTAAGACTAGAACACACATGTTAAAAGATGTGTGGCATTTGTGTTGTGATTCTTTTGAGTCTCTACTTGAGACTTTTATGTTTTGACACAAGTTTGTGAATGCTTCATGGTGGTGACAATTTATTGATACTTGCTTTAAATTTGGTTTTTGAATAAATATTGTTTTGTCAAATTTTAAAATTTTTTAAGTGAAGCTATTGATTAAAAGCTTAATGGTAGAGATAAGTGTATGTATTTGATTCATAACCAATAATATGTTTCTTATTGTATGTTTTTAAGTGAATTTCTATGCTTCCCTTCATTTTGATAATTTTAAACTTTTGTCCTTAAAGAACCTAATTTCTTTAAATAGAAAAACATGTTGAATGATTATTACTTAATTAAGGATTACCATTAGGAAATTGATAATTAGCTAAGTTTTCTTTTTTTTTTTACTCTACATTAAATTAGCCATATATATGAGTTTTGAGCCTTTTATGATAATTTTTATCCTAATCTAATTTATAATACTCATTTTCTCATTATTGTGTGTGATTATCACCTTAAAATGTATGCTCCAAAATTTGATTTGTGGCAGCCTAAATAATATTCTTTTTCATTACATGTTTTTATGTGATTGAGGTATAGTAATATTTTTGACATCTCAATCTTTATCTTTATATTTGTAAAATTTTTCTTATACTTTATGTAAACGTTCAAAATTTTCATAAATATATTTTTATATTATTTTTTAAATATTTAATATATTAAAATTAAATTAATTTTTTTAAATTAATATTTTAAATAATTTTATTATACATAATTATTTAAAAATATTTTTTCATAGTTATTAAATTATAAATATATATTTTTATTTTAAAATTAAATTCATGTAAATTTTGTTCTCTTTATTACTCAATATTAAAATATATAAAAAATGTTTATATTTCTCATTTATTTTATTATTTTCCACCTTCCTCCACGGTGTAGTTTGCCTCGTCCACGTGGGATGAAGATTTTGACCAGGGGCTTGCTAGCTAGGCTACTAACTCCATGTTGGTCTTTCCCCGGTGGTTCCGATCCGAAGCAGAAACGCAATGGGAAGGTCGACGTTTGATGCGGTCGTCTCCGTGTTCGTTACGGTGCACCCGCACGAGACCTCTGTTCTGCTCCATTCCTTCTTCTGCTTCTTCTTTGTGAGTAGTTTCTCTGCTCAATGCAACCACTGTGACGTTGGCCGAGAATGTTCCTTCTCCCGTAAATACGTTTTTCTTTTGTTGTTTCGGTATTTGTTGCAGATTTTGAGTGCGTATTTCGTAGTTCTTCCTTTGCGGGACGAAGGTGCCATCTCTTTGGGGTTATCAAATCTTCCTGGTCTATTTGTAGGGTCTCTGGTGCTCACCCTCGTTGCTGCGCCCTTTTCGTCTCTCATATTCTCTCTCCCTAACGTCACCAAAGGCAAGGTAATATTGCGTATCTCAGAACTCTATTCTGTGGCCTATAGTAGGGTTGATTTCAATTTTGATCATTCATTTAATTCAACTATTTTTATTTATCTGAAACTAATGTCTAAATGACTTTAGACTTACAAATGGCCGCACAATCATGCATAGTAAACAATGTTTTTCCATCTAATCAAGTCAAGGTTATATGTATTTAATATTGACGATAGCAATCAAGGTTATTTGCCACCACATCACTACGTAGCCATGACTGCAGCAATGTAGTTTCTGCATTTACCTCTCATACCACATTTTATAGAAAATATGTGAATAATGTAAATAGGCTAATTGAACCTTGTAAATTATGTCAATTGGGATATTTTTTATTCTTTTAATTATCACATTAACTCTATATGATAAAGCATGTGTAATTCTAACACACAAATTTCTCATTACGTCTCTTCTTTTCCTGGTTAAATGATATCTAGAGCCTAAGTAAAGAGAGGCAATCCTATTATGTGTCATCCTGGTGCACCCAGTTCTCACCATGAAAATCATTTTGTAGAATACCATGATTTCTTTGGTTTCCAGTGTTCTACTGCCGTGTTGTCCTTCTAGCAGCCTGCTAACCACCAATTTTCATTGAGTTTTCCATGTAGTTAGTCTAGTGACGACCATTCCATCTGAGGCACCTCTTTCAAATCAGCTCATCCCAAGTATTTTCATGTCAAACTGATCTCCTATGCACCCTCATGGCTAGATCACATTGTTTTCACCATGTCCCACATGTCCAATAATGTGTGAAATGCTCCAGTTTCCTTTCCATTTGTTGTGTCTCTTCCATGCAGATCTGCCTTTCACCTTCTATAGTTGGTCTTTGTTTGGATATGGTCCCTCACACAACACTCATTAGAGTGGTATTTTTATCATATTTGGTACCATAATTGCCTCTTAAAATCACATGAACATGAAATAATAAATATGCCTGAAATATTTATGCGACTACATGCAATTTCAAAAACCAACACTTTGTGGATGTAATTAGGGGAACTAGTTTTTGATTTATTATTGTAATTTCTTGTTTTATTTAATAAGAGAAAATCATATTCATTATGGTAACTTGCAATATGCATTCATATTTAATTATTTAGTCATTTTTGTAATGAAAAGTTAAGTTGAAAACGATATATAGTGGTGGTTAGTTTATGTTTCCTTGGATGTCATGCTGTAATGGTGTTTGTTGAAATTCCAGGCTTTGGTTTTGATACACAGGTTCTTTAGTGTATCCCTCATACTGTTCTTTATTCTATGGCACTCCTCATCAGCTGGATATCCAACATCCAATATGACAGTGAGACAATAGTATTACTGGAAGTTGTTTGTTGCAGTCTAGATTTCTTAAGTTCAGAAGTATTTGTAGTTGATTGTGTTAAATTTGTTTTTCACTTCCTAGGGCTCCATGATGTTGTCCTATCCCTCCAAGGAAGAAGGGAAAATTGGTGACCAAGGCAGTCTTACATCTTCATTTGGTTGGAATAACCATGGATGGTTCTATATTTCTGTTCGAATAGGATTGTTTCTTTGGGTATGTTTATAATAATTTTATTTTCCATTTTTATTTAGTAATGTGTAATTTGATTTCAGTCAGCTGTTAACTTGTTTCAGAAGACTTTTTTTTAACACTGGTTTATGCTTTTTATAAAGGTTGCTTTGCTTAATCTAATTACAATTTCTTCAACATGGGCAAGGGTAATTGATGTGATGGACAGTGAGGTTTGTTTGTAGCTATATAATTTTTTGTTTTCATCTGGATTATATGGGGCTCAGTTAACCTGCTCTGAGTTCAGTCAGGTTCAAGACTATTTGGTTTTATTGGTGCTGGTGCCACTCTTGGACAATTTTTTGGGTCACTATTTGCCATTGGAATGGCTTTTGTTGGGCCATGTAAGTTTGCATTTGCCCTAACTGTGTTTTCTTATATAGTTTGGTTTTGCCTTAAAGTAAAATCATGTCTATTGCAGTCTTGCTTTTGTTTGCTGCTTTGTTGATGGAATTTGCAGCACAGACATCAAGAGGGATAACTCGTGGTACATCTCATGTTGAAGAACCGATGTCTCGCATTAGGTCATTATACATATTCTTTTTTTTTTCATATTATATGAATGAAAACTGGAATAATGTTTCAGATGGTACACACCTCATTTTAATTTTTGAGGAATGTATTAACCTTTAGGCTTTGTTTGAGAGTTAAATTTTGGGGGCAAAGGGAGCGAAGAGGAAGGCTTATTTATTTATAAACCCTTCAAAATCCTCCTAAGCCTATGCTTTTAAATTCCTCCAATTTGGAGATTTTTTATTAATACTCCTTCCTCCTCCCTCCTCTCCTCCCTTATTCTTCAAAGCCTTTCCTTTCGTTTCCCTTCAAACTCCTAAGCAAAGCCTTAAGAAATATACGACATCTAGAAGAGTAGAACTACAAATTTGTTATGGACCAGTGCTTACAGGGTCTTGATTGTCATGCATTTGAATGATATGCTTTGTTTGGATAAGCAAACTTGGCAAGTGCCCCAATCATTTTAATGTGTATACCGTTGCCACAAGGATTGTCACTAAGTATCAACAATTGACATAGAATAGAGCAAAGAACACTTCATTGAACATATTTTTATGGTTTTATGTTGATATTCCAAAGTAAAAGAATTTTAGCAAAGCAATTTAGAAATAGAGAATGAGAACAATTCAGAAATATGAAGATTTTGGAAAAATATGCAGAGCAATATTGAAGTAAGATACAAAATGCTAAAACACAAAGTTAAAGATGCAAATTCAAAGTTAAAATCACAAAGATAAAAGTGGTTAGGATTCAGACATTAGCTGGATTTGTGCTCATGTATATAAGTAGATTTCTAACTCAGTTTCAAGATCTAATTCTCTAGTGTAATAAACCTAATATTTTGGTATCATACCTAATTATTGGTTAGAAAAATCCTATGTCTCAGCAAAATTTAACTGATAAAAGCATGATGAACATGGCTTAAAAGAATCTTGTTAATTTTCCCCAATTCCTATTATAGGCAATTAGAAAGAATAAAGGAAGTTCACTCCAGATCTGAACATTTAAACCAACGTGTCCATTGCGCAAAATCATTTTAAATTCATGCAATTGAATGACCAATTCAATTGAAGCCTTAAGCACAGAAGTAAAACTATGCAATTATCAAGAATACATGAATTAGATTTAGAAAAATAGATTACATCAGTTTGAGTTCAAATTATATCTTGTCTTAACCTAAAACAATTTAGCAACTCATTTACAGAAATGAAAGTGGAAATGGTAGAAATGAGAATGTTACGGTGGATGAGTGAACATACAAGAAAGGACATGATACAAAATGATAGTATATGAGAGAATATTTGAGTAATACCTACATTGGAAAAGATGACTAAAAATCATTTAAGGTGGTCCGGTCATTTGCACAAAAAACCTTTGGAGGCGCTAGTAAAGAGAGTGGATCAGACGATTTTTAGTTTGGTAAAGGGGGGTCGAGGGAGACCCAAAAGAACCTTAGATGAAGTTACTTTAAAAGAGACTTTTTAATTAACCAGATTTCTAAAAATTTGGTTTTGGACTAAGCTCAATGACATATTGTGATACATGTAGCTGACCTCACCTAGTGAGATAAGGCTTGGTAGTTTTTGTTGTTGTATATTTACAAAAATCAGAACAAAATTGACATGGGAGAAATAGAAAATTGCCGTAGAAATTTGGATAGACAATGAAAGTCTTCCAAATATCTAGGAATTAGAAATAGAATTGAGAGAAAAATAAAGGAGAATCCTAAATCAGAAAATTGAAAAGTAGGAAAATGAATGAGATATGAATAAATGAGCTTTATGACATATATTTATAGATTTTTGGGTCATATTAGGTGTTGAGATGTTGGAATTGGTGTTGGAACACGCATAAACCGTTATTCAGCATTTTTGTAGTTGATGCCAATGTTATCAATGACGGATGGCGGGAAGCAAAAATACTGCCATAAAATTATGGCGGATGCCATGGCGGATTATGGCGGTCATAATAAAATATTATATATATATATATATATATATATATATATATATATATTGCAAAATGTGATATAAAACTAGAAAACTAACTACATATAAAAGAAGGAAGGTTTTGGGGAAAAAGGAATAAAATGGTTGTAAAACAGTGAAAAAAAACTGAAGTTATAACAAAAAAGTACAGAATTAAAAATAAATATGGAGAAGGAAACTTGGCAGTGAAAACAGAAAAATAGAATCAAGAAAACAAAATAATAAGGAAAAACGAAAAAAATGGGGGAGTAAAACGGAATGGTAGAGGGAAAAACAGAATTGAAAAAAAAAATAGAGTAGGAAAGGGAAAAACTAAGAAAGAGGGACAGAGCCCAGAGAAGCAAAATGGAAAATGGATGTTGAAAAACAGGGCCTTCCACTCAGTTGCCGGAAAACAGCCAGAAAGGATATCTTCTTTGGCGAAAATGATGAAGGAGATGAAGGAGAAGTTAACTTTAAAGAAGAAGGAAGAAAAACAGGGCAGAGAGAACCCTAAAAATTTTACCCTTTAAAAATTTACCGCTTGAGAAGAGAAGGAAAAAAATTTTAAGTGGAAAAAGTCCATTTTGCCCTTAAGAAAACCCTAAACAACACTATAGCAAGGGCAAGACTGGACTTTCACTCTCTCTATCTCCATTACACTTCAAAAGTGCAAACCCACACCAAGACACTATCTACAAACAGGGCTTAACCTCTGCAAATAAAGAAATACTTCACCACAGCAAGCATCATGTGGCCGACCTCCACTCCACCGCGGCACAATAGTGATGAAGAAAAGAAATGAAAAAAATATGTGACTTAGGGTTTGCGCTCACAGATATTCTCTTTGGATCGGGTCAAGTCTGTGGCCCAACTCAATTTTTCCTGCAAAAATGCCATTTTTCTACATTTTCTGCCATGGCCCCCTGTTACTGCCATGCATGTAACGGCTGGCTGCCATGGAAAAATGCCGAAAGACGCTAATGCTGTAACGACGGGGTTAAAAACTGCCACCGAATTCCGCCATGGCTGCCATTTAACAACACTGGTTGATGCTGGAGTTAGAATGCTTAGAAGCATTAGTCTTTACTTGCTCGAGCTCTAGGCATTGGAATGCTCAAACACATGAAGCACTTTGGTTCTTTTCTGTTGAGTGAGCGTTGGAACACTCAGTTTCTTGCTTTAATTCTGTTAATCTTCATTTGAGCATTGGAATGCATAGCCAATGTTGTAATGCTCAGTTCCAAATTTCAGCTTTTTTGACTTTGTGCTTCTTGGCTTCCTTGTAATAGCAATTCTCTATTCTAATTTGTTTTCACTTTTCACTTAAAGTAACCAAGTTTTTGTTTTTTGAGTTCCAATCCTGAAAATTATAAAAAAACTCTTGAATTTAACTAAGAAAAACACGTTTAATTGAATTACTTCTTATTTCCAATCATCACTAGAAATGACCATGCAGGTGTTGCTGGTGTTAAACAACATTTGTTCCATCTCTTTTAGACTAAGGACTTAGAACCTCTTCCCTTAATTCTTTACAAAAAGTATGCAACATGTATATAAGGATAATCTATGTTCAATCACCTTTTTTAATAATTCCATAGTGTGACTCATAAGTTTTATCCCCATGTAGTTATGTAGTTATATAATTATGAATATTTCCCTTATTCTTGTGTACAGGGATCAAAGTATTCTTCCTCCACTCATTTGACATTTTAAGTTTCAAAATCTCATTAAATAGCTTACTGAGTGAAATGATACTTTGTTCTCCTATACATTTTTAAACTTTAATAAGAATACCATCATGATCAACAACTTAACTGTTATCCATCCTCTTAAGAGTTTTTTTTTTAATCTTTCTAACTTGAATTTTGGGATAGTACACCAAATTTTGATTCTTTACTTGGGTTTCTAAACCTTCTATATTATCAATTGATTTTTTCCCATATTGAAAAGTTTGTAACAATAGCTTTCTTGTTTCTCTTTGATATCTTGATCTATAACCAAAACTTTTCTTTTCTCATCTCTTATCAAAACCTTTACATTTATCCAATGTAGCTTTAGCAATTCTCCTAATCTTGTTATACATCTCATCTCAAGTGAGGTTAGCATTACCTTATTACACATACAATTGCTTATCACATTAGCTGCTTCCACTTGATTCCTGGATCCTTAGCTTGTTTAGTTTTTGGTTTGTGACTTGCAAAACAAACTGTAAGGAACTGGTTCAATTTTGTAAAGTAGAAGTAGAAATACTGAGTGTACTTTTATTGAATGTTCTCTGTCAAGAGAAATATCCCAATCTGTGAGAAAGAATCAAGAATACAAGAATATCCAGGACTTTGAGAGCCTGGTCTCTCCCCAACTGACCAAATATTAATCCACCGCTCCAAAATTCCCTTTTTCCACCTGACCCTATTTATTCCCTGTTCTTTACATTTTTCTCAGCTAATTGGGCCTCTTTTCTTCTATTGGGCCTTCTTACATAGACTTTACTAATTGGGGGTTTGGGCCTATTACTAACAATACTCCCCTCCCAAAGTTTCACCTTGTCCGCAAGGTGGAATTCTGGAAACTGTTCTTGTATAACTTCAAAGGACTCCCAAGTTGCTTCAAAGTCAGGCAGGTCCTGCCACTTGATGAGGACTTCAGCCCCTCCTAAAGACCTGTTGCGGATTGCTAGGACTTCGCTTGGTTCAACTTGCAACTCTAACTCCTCAGATAGCATTGGCGGCAGTGGTTGGGGTGTAGTAGTGGAGCCAATAACCTTCTTTAGTAAAGATATATGGAAAACTGGGTGTATTCTGCTGTGATCAGGTAATGCCAATTGATAAGCAACCTGTCCTATTTTCTTGACAATTTGGTAAGGGCCATAAAATCAGGGTCGTAACTTCTCATTCATCTTCTTTGCAAGAGATTTCAATCTATAAGGTTGTAACCTTAAGTAAACCCAATCGCCGACTTCCAAATGGACCTCTCTCCGGTGGCGGTCAGCAAATTTTTTCATCTGATCTTAGGCCTTCAACAGATTCATTTTTAAATCATGT